TGATTCTCATTGGTATATATATATATATATATATATATATATATATATATATATATATATATATATATATATGTGAGTGTGTGTGTGTGTATGTTATGTTCAACTGTGTTTATTTAGAAGTAAGCCAAACACCAGATTACTACAGTTCATGGAAACATACCAATTGTTAATGGACAGAGATACTGCAATCACTGTTAAACGTGTATCTTCACGAGGTTCATTCAGCGGTCAGCACTTGAAACACAACCATAGAGAGAAAACACTTCTCACAAACAGAACCGTAAAGAAACAATCACAGGTATCGCTCAGAATAATGCCTCTTTCCCCCCATCCTCACTGGTGAGTGCTGGTCAGTCTAGCTGGCTAAATATCTTTATGAGGTGAATTATATGACCACCTCAGTGCCTCAAGTGGGAAATTACAGTAGATAAGTCAAATGGAAATGCTTGAGAAAAAAAATGCAGACGTGGAAGCTCATCAGCTACGGGTTATGATTGCCAGTTTATCTCCAGGGCATAGTAGACTTCCTTACTAAAGCACAATCCATGACCTTCCAGTAACCCTGGACACATACATAAACACAGTTTTCTGTGAATTCAAAGGTTGATCTGTCCACATTTTTACTCATTTGAATGGTTCCTTTTTCAAATACTCGACAATGGCAACGGTTTGCACAATAGCGCACTTTTCCAACCATGATTATTCCCTTTACTTGTGTGAAAGGGTCTAATTTGTCCCATGCTACACTAATTGCATTTGTATTCACATGCAGCTTCTCAAAGTTATATGAACCAGTGATCCTCTTCTCAGCTGAGAGAGCTGAGATTGTTAGGAGTGAAAATCTACAGGGATATGAAGGGAAACATCACTTGTCAATCATTATTGTTGTTGTTTTTAATGTCTCCTCCAAACATACATATTCTCCTGGGTGCCATTTGTTTGCCAGGTGAATGCGTAGAATATGGAACAGATCATCATAAAAGCGTCTTCTTAGTGCACATTTGCATTTATTCATTCTGAAGCTAGCCAAGCAAGAATAATGATAATCTTTTGTCAACATGCCCTTATTCATGCATAAGTAAAAGTAATGATTGTTTTCATCTCGGCATTGTCTAATCTCATAGTCAAGCCAATATTTTTTTCAGGCCATTTTTACTGTTGTCTCAGTCGTGTCTGTTTTTACACACAAGTAGATGAATGCTAATGCAATTTTATTTATTTATTTTTTTTCAAAACAAGAAAGTGCATACCTGTTACCCTGGAAGCCTATCTTAAAACAAAAATGAAGTGCACATAAGCAAAAATAAATTGTATATGTACATATGTTATTTATTTCTGCTTATGTGCACTCCATTTTTGTTTTACAAGTTGGGCTTCCAAGGGAACAAGTATGCACTTTCTTGTTTTGAAAGAAAAAAAACAAATGACCTCTTGATTATTTATACATGTGTAGATATCATGCACACGTTGTATGACCATAGCTTTAGTTTCATGAATTTATAAATGATCTGTTCTGGTCCTCCATCTTCTAATTGAAGAAGTGTTGCTCTAGTGGTCTGGAGGTTCATGTATTATGCATAGAAAACAACAGGGTGCAGGCTACATTATGGTCCCATCATGCTAGCCGAGTCCTGCTGGTATGGGGAGAGATGATATTTCATATAGTTACAGCCTCATTAAGGGGCCACACTAACGGCCAGAACACACGCACACACACACACACACACACACACACACACACACACACACATCCCGGACAGCATGCTGTTTAAGCAACACTGCTGATGTAGCCATGACCTTAGAGATCAGTGCTGCAAGTATTGTCTTGTCTCATTGTCATTATGTGATATAAGTGTTGTAAGCCTCAAAACAACACATGGTACGCTGTTCTGAGTAAAGCAAAATAAATTAATTGTCTTGATTTTTTTCTCACTTGGGAGAGTTTCCCAATGAGCTCCATTTCATACTGAGATTTTCTGTTGGTAATCAACGATGCAAATACTGCTTTGCAAGGGATGTCAAATTAAAAGTGTGCATCTTATCAATATTTATTAGGCCATTAAGTGAGGTTTGCGGATTTTGTGCTTTAGGGTGACCGAATGGTCAATAGAGAGTGATAGTTCTATTCCTGCATTAATGTCTGCATCAGGGATGCACCGATACTGAGCTCCTGTACTCGTTAAAATGCCCCGATACCAAACGCTGATACCACAACATAGCATATGTTAAGTGGCATATTCAGACAATGAAGCGACGACAACAGAACAACAGACAGCAGAATTGAGTTAAGGATGTCTACGAAGTATATGTATGCAATGAATATAATGTTAAACATTCAGTATTAAACCCTGTATAAATAAAGAACAGGATTATGTAATGAGAAAAGCACTCAGACTCCTTCCTCACACTCCCAGCTCTCATTTGCCGAACCACTAAAGATAGAAATCTTTGCCTGAATAATGCAAACACGCTCCTCGTTCCCGATCCTTTCTGTACACCGACTTTAGCTGAACAGATGTGTGCGGCAAAGGGCAATTTATACTTGTGACCGTCTCTGTACATTTACCATGTCCAATCGTCTATCTATCTGTCTGTCTGTCTATCTATCTATCCCAAGAGCCATCAAATCTGTCTATCATCTAATTTGTCAATCTATCGACCGACGGACTGTTCATTCATTCATTCTCTCTGTCTTTACAATTTAACTACCTCTTTAAACTTTCCAATTGAAATGTATTTGAAAAGTACACTACTCAGATGATTTCTCTGTTTTCTCTAATTTGTCATTAGAAATGAGTTATTGTGCCAGCACGTTTATATTTAGATTAGGTCTGAATTAGCAGGATATTTCAGGCTCTTTCGTCCTTGTCCATTTGCATGTTTGTAAGCTAAGAAAAAAGATCCGACTATTATGACAGCAGGTACTTACTGTACATGCTCAGATATGCATCTTGTAGGACGTTCCTCTGCAAGTAATTTGTGATTTCAACCACAGATGTTTATAGAGAACACAGAATTCTGGAATTTACCAAATGTGTTTTTTAATTGTATTTTTATGATGTACTGTTACATTCACGTGCACTTTAATGATTTCCCACTTAAAATAATGAAGTGATAAACTACTTAGTTTATTTGTTATTAGACGTCAGTTAATTTGTCTGCTCACTGAAAGTGAGAATGATGTGCTGTGTAGAACAATAATAGCTAATCTGAACATGTGTTTAATATGTAGTTATGTGCAGCATAGTTTGGACCAATCAGATTTCAGTATGAGCGGGGCTACTCAGTGTGACGCAGCAGAAATAGAAACCAAGCAGCTGACAAAATATCCTTGTGGTAACACCTTAACAAAATTCACCCGGTTTTCATCTTTAGAAATGCTGGTAACATCTGAAATGCACAGATAATAATAAAGAACTCTCTGTAAAGCTGTATTGTTGGTTGTCTGCTGTAAAATGCTGACTGTAAAAGAAGTGAGGGTCACAATGGCAGCGTGAACAGGCCTAGAAATGCAACCTGTTTATTGTTATTAATTGCCCACTGCCACCCACATTCCAGGGCCTGGAGGAGTCAGACAGGAAGGGCTACATTATTTCTCTCTCAGACTCATGCGCGGCTTCCTTAACTCCCCTGTCATCACTGCAATGATTGAATGACCCTCAGCTTTCTCGCCTCAGACCAGCCTCACGCTGACTGACAACCAACACATTACTATGCACAGTCAGCAGGAGGGCAGCTACGAGCCAATATGAATGTATGAATAGATAGGATAAAAGGATGGAGTAATTGATTTTCTATCTGCTCTTCCATTTCATTAACTGAATAAATGTACTTTTGATTTTGGGCAGTTTTTTTGACTTGTTCAAATCAGACCTTTTGTTCCATTGTTGGTTCTTGTCATTGTTGGTTGACTCTTGTTTTTGTAGTGTGATAACATTGCAGAAAAATAAGCTGTTTTGTACCCAGTAGAATTGGGAATGTGCGGGTACGTTCCCATGATCCTCAGCAGTTCTATTTGTCATTTTCTTGTATGACTTGCCTTTGAAGATCTGACAGGAAGCTTTGTTTTGTTGTTTGTCATGTGGGATTTGTCCTGGTGTTAAGCAGTGTCAGAGTTTTAATCGAAAATCCGTGTTATCTACAGTGGCACATATTTACATTACGAATTATACAGAGAGAGCTTTAAGTTTTTGGCATTGTATAGACTTAAACTGCTCTGCTTTTTTCTTTTTCCAGATGTGATCCATACTGTCGGCCCAATCGCCAGAGGAAATGTGGGCCAGTTCCAAAGAGATGACCTCGAATCATGCTACAAATACTCCCTCAAGCTGATGAAGGACAATACTTTGAGATCTGTGGTGAGTATAAAAGCCTTTAAGACCGACTTTAGAAACATCTAAACATCTTTACTGATCTTCTTATGAATGATTCATTCATGCAGGTTTCGTTTT